CGTTTGTTAGTATTTATCTACTTATGTCATACAGCCTTTTCTTCCCTGACGGTGCTTCATAACTTTTTTTATCCGAGCTTCACTTTCAAAATTAATGTGTTCACATCAATCCGAATTTTTATGGACACGAAAGACTCAAAAGCAGTGCTCCACTGCTAAGCTCTAGAATTAAAATCTGTTACACAGAATGTATAGTCGTACGATCAGAAAATCTTACAAATAAGCGCTAAAATACTATCATAGTACTTAGCGGTATGTTTGTAACGAACAGAACACATTCCCAACATTGTATACCATGTAACGAAATAGCTAAAATAAAAACGGACCCCCGAGGCACAACAGAATATACACTTTTTCAGATGATTCACACCTAGGATTGGGTATGACTGGCTGATGACTTATAAGCCAGAAATGGTCATTCCGGTCAATGAACATACATGTTCCTTTATCATATCGATGAGTCCTACACTATTATCATATTCCAAACCGAGACCGACAAAAACAACCGGCCTCTGGCTCAGTAGAGCTTAGTCCATGACCAAAGAATCGTGGCTTCGGATTTCGGTGATCCATACTTGGAACTGGGTATGACTGGCTGATGACGTATAATAAATCAGGAATGACCATTACAATCTCCCTTGTCTTTGTCGGTTCCACTTCTCATACATATGGAAACGGGAAGATTTCTGAAACGTCATTAAGAAAAATATTTGGTCCACGAACTCGCCCCCTCTTATTTGGGAGATGATGAACGCGATATAAATATTGACATAATGATTCTTCTTGGTCAAGAAATCGCCTGCAGGGCCACGGAGCTTGCGTACTATAAAATGCTACTAATAACATTTCGGCTGCTTTATTAAGGTAAGCCGACTTACTGTATAGCAACGGATTTGTGCACTCCTAACCAATAGCTTCGAGCTTCAGTTATTTCGTGCTTGAAGTCGAGGTAGTTGTAGCTTTTGATTACATTCCTTAGTTAGGTGGATTAACTGAGCAGTATTCAACGTTGTTAGCGTTTGTTTCACAAACTGAGGTGACATAAACAACAAACACCGCTAGGACGGCTTCTGTTAACCGTGTGTAAGCTTGCCAGAAAAACACGTGCTGGTGTGCCTGTACATGGTCTCTGTCATCACACCACAGGAACCGTTTCAGACGCTTCTCTTTGAAAACAGGCGGGTGTAGCAGAATATACGATTGATACAGAAGCACAGATCGCAGATAAGCCTTGTAGGTTAAGTCCTCAAGTCGATCGTGCCGATGTTTCAGTGGAGCCGTCATTAATCGTTTTGGGGAATACGGAAGTATGTGAAGTTTAGGGTTGGTTGAAACGAGTTTGGCCATAAACTCTACGCTAATGTTAGACTACTCTTCAACCGTTTCGCGCCTGGAATCCCGATTAGGTTTGTTTTTGCTTCTATTTACAAACAATAATGTTGTCTCGGACTTATTTTCCAACTTTTACTCACATTTTAGGGAATCTTTGGAAAAGGCCGCGTTCGAACGCCTGAAGGTTATGCCGTCGCCAGACTAAAGGCTCCCTCTTGTTCTCACTCATACTCCACGTCTTTTCGGCATGTGTAAAAAGCGCCCTCTGCTATCCATATCTCGACTTTTAATAGAAGTTCTTGTATTTTTCCATCTTTGTCTGTCTAGACACGAAACATCGTCGTATTTTTTTATTCTATCGACCGAAATGAACGACGCGGTTGTCTAGGCGTCTTTTGCTTCCGCCTTTCCTTACTAGTTGCTTATTTTAGGTTTGTTTTCTGAAAACGGATGTATTTCCTACTTGCCTGAATCTCCTATTCTCTTAAAAGCAACTGACGATCTACGCATCGAGTTAGTTGAGATCGGTCTCGTGCTTTTGTAAAGGACATTTATTTCACGAGCTTGACTCCATTTTTGAAGTATAATGTTCTAATAGTTGTTGCCATTGTGACATGTTATTCAGAATGCGCTCCGCTAACTCTCGCCAGTCCACTAAGGTGCATAATGGTTTAAGGACATTTAACTGAGTCTGATTCAAAAACTAATAACATCGACAATGGGTTGGTTGTCGCGGCAGCCGGCTTTAGACTGTCACAAACTTTCGGGTATTACCTTCGCATCCGAATAAAAAAAACATGGAGGTCGCTCGTCAAAGGAAGTTCTGCGTGTCAAAGTTGGCTGTGGCGTGTGGACGTACTAATCCGGATCGTTAACGACATCTACGTGAACACGGTGGATCCGTCAGCAACGCACGATGATTTACTTTGCTAACACCTTATTTCCCAGTATGCTTATTTGTATTGACTGTCAGCAGTGCCGTTCTATCCCATGACACTGCGAAGGACTGTTGTCCGCCCCTCGGAATCTCTGTCTAGTTGCCCTTCCCTTCGTAAACGCCATTATTTGTCGGGCTCGGTATTTACCAGGTTAGGCATAGCTTGCCTGTGCAATACTAAAATGTAGTGCACAGGGTTTTGACGGAAACTCGAAGAGATAATATATCGAGTGAGCCCCACTCCAGACGTTTTCCGAACACACATCTTTGTCCCAGCGGTCCGTGGAGACTAGTTATTGTAACCTCATAGCACAATGGCTGTAACTACAATCTCTCATACCCTGTTATTTAACAGAAAACTCGATTAAAAACATCGGGACCGCAACAGGGCAAGTTCCAGTGTCCTAATCATCTGAGCTACGAGGCCCCCCGGTATCCTCGACCTTCTAAAAACTGGGTTTTTTTGCTCACCGAACCTACTGTAGCGTACGCACTACACCATAGCACAATCGAATGATCCATTGGACATGTTAATTCCTTTGAAGTGCTTAGTAACTATTCATTGTCGGCTACTGAATCTTCCTGTGGGACGAAGTGAGTCGTGCCTTGTTTATCGTAGTTAATCCCCTCCCTACACTAGCACATCCATGGGACAGGTGAACCAAGGTAAACAGAACAGTCCACTGTACGTGGATTCTCCTTACTAAGAGACTGGTGCGTGGGTCGTGATGAGTTTGAGTTGTGCTGGGGTCTTCTTGGTGTTCATCTGAAGACATGATTTGCGCTGGTGGTAAATGTAGTCATGGGCGGCTCGAGTTTCCTCGAAGCAATTCCCAAGCAAGGTAACTTGAGCACTGTCAGGACACGAAATAATAGAGTTATATACTACCTGGACATTCTTGCAGTCCTTGTCAAGACGACAATATCGGTAAGTAGGTTGGTATCAAACTTTCATTAGTTGACATACGCTCGAGCCTGTGCACACGAGTGATATGAGACCTACGTCAACTTGAGGGGCATGTCATAAGCACTTTTTGGTCGAGTCGAACGCTACTTACCGCTGACGACGTTGACAGTGTTAGGGAGAGGGTCGCACTGGTTCTTCTTTCCTTACAAGGCTCTGGAAGAAGAACGAAAACGGCTCGGGTTGCTTACAATGACATTGAGTACTTTGCGGTCGCTGTGCTGGCAAGTTTCCCTTATGTTTGGTTTATGGAATAGAACGGCAGCAGACTTGCCCCATCCCTACGAGACAAACTCCGGAGGGTACATTCACACGGGAAAATGCGAAGCCGCCCAAACGCGCTTTCTTGGAACACGTCTTCTAGATCATGGCGTTCCCGGGTAAAGCATAATGCCCAGTCAGGTAAAGCGGAGCTGAGCCGTATGATTCTCCAACAAGGTGGCTGGCTGTTTTGCCGCATGGGAGTTCACGAGCGCGTCATAGGGGAGCGCGGGGTCGTCTTCGCGAACAGCCTCGCCCACGAGTAGGCGTTTCGCGGTCGCATAGTTGGAGCTGTGATCACTGTGTTCGGTTCCACACACAGTGAGCAACACTCAGAGTCCACTTACTAGGGTGCTGTCAGTCTGTTACTGCGGTCTGTCCGTAGTTTGACTATACAGTCAATAGGCGTATTCATGGACTGAAATCTGACGTTAACCTGAAAAGTCTTATCGAAATCAATAAGTCTTCACTGGCCGATGACAAACTGGAGGGCATGTAGTGGGCGCTAGCACCACTGTGGGAACCCGTGATCGCTGACTCATCACACCAAGGCTGCAGTCACGCTGACTGCCCG